TTTATTTATACCTTATACATTTTAACTGAGTATAATCATATTGATATATAGCCATATAGGTAACATATTTTGGCATGGAATACAAATCATAAAACAAAGGATTGTTTGACTTAAACTTAGGGTTCAACGCCACTGGTAGTGATGTAGTAAACAAGGTATAAAACACAACGCTACAAAATGAAACACACCGTCATGWTAAAATACGAAAAAATCATTACATTAATATTATGCCGTCTATTTCGGGATTTCGGATAAAACTATAAAAAAGAAAAATATAATATTTATTAAGGTCATGCTGGTAAAATGTATTCCCAAAACCACAGCAGTCTCTCTCTCTCTCTGTCTCTCTCTCTATATCTCTCTATCTCTCTACGATTCTGTACGAATATATTATTATTACGACGTAGAAGACTATACATATACATCGGACATTTTTAGCGGAATTCCGGTCCCGTGAGAGTTAAAACAACGCTTTTTTCCTTTGAAGTCCGATTTAGCTGCATTATGTTACGTCATATTATTTCGAGTGTACATAAAATAGTGAYCCGGGGTGGCCTTGTCAAAACACGGTGTGCTCGCGATGAGCAGGTAAACATAATATTGCAGACAGGTAGTATGGTTACTATTACCACGGTAAGAGCAGAAACAGAATCGCGTGGGTAAAAATCTACGAGCGGCGAAGTATACCGTCCAATATATTATTGTTATTAATATTTGCTTTATTTTGCTATATACGCGCGTGCAGTATAACATTATTTTATATATGTATATATCGCTGAACGCCGGGTATTTCATGTTCGTACGTCAAATTATTATTGTAATTCGCAGACGACTGTGTATTATTTTGTCGAACGGTATAATATATTATTCGTAAAATATACTCTTCGCCGCCGACGTGCCACTAGCCTGGTAACTTTGCGGTAACGGTATTGTTCCCGCCACTGGGTTCAGGCCATCGCCGAGATGCGTACCCAACGGACTGGAAAATAGTCTGTTTTCATTGTTATTGTTATCATCGACATCGTCATCATTATCATCATCGTCGTCGTTGTCGTCCTCGTTATTATTATTAGCCAAACTCGCACTACTTCTGTACCATTTGCTATAGGTATTACGTTGTCGCCCGAATAATTGCAGTTTTCTTTCTATTTTTATGGAACGCGAACAAGACGAACCGCGCGGGAGAGATGAGTTTGATAACTGCCGAGAAACGATAATATATTATGTGTGATTAATATTCAAAGCTAAAAAATTAGGTAYTTAATTTCGGATTATTCGATTTTCGAAAACCGGCTGCAGTCGTCTAGCTGCCGTACACGCCATTTCCCGTTCTCGAGCGTCACCCGCGCCGATACGCGAAACTATTTATGTTTATTGTGGATTTACCGAGGTAACGGATTTTTTTTTTAAAGAGTTGGGCACATCGATTAAAAAAATATATTGACGAAAAAATATGATTCTTCTGACCAAATAATTGTTGTGTGCTGTTCTTAAAATGTACACACATATTATAGCCAGTGATGTGTATATAAGTTCCATAATATTATGAATTGTCGTCGCTGAACCTAAAATCGATCTGAAATCGCGTCCTAAATCGGTTCGTATATAATATAATATTATTATGTGTCTCTATCTAATAATAGATATATTATATATGTGTCTGATGTCTATATATAATATACTTTTCAACCATCATCGCCCTCTTCACCGCTATACAAATTATACAGTTCGCCGTTGTTCGGCGCCGCGTTCGACAAGGTCTGACAAATCAGCCATAAAAACAATGCTGCAGGTTGGTTCGCGGCTCGATAATAAGTAGAACGCGCCTATAATACTGCCAATAGATGCGTTTTTCCGATAAAAGTCATGGCCTACAAAATATTGTAATCTGGCACACCGCGAGCTGATGGTTTTGTTCATGTGATGCTCGCGAAAAACGTGCAGTAATCGTCGAAGGAACCAGCCGAGAAAAAAAATAAATGGGTTAAATAAGGTGTAAAACCGATCAGCCTCGAAACGACCGTTCGACATAAGTGGAATTTATATGAATAAGATATAGGTAATATATAAGAACCACAGAATAATGTAGGCGACAAGYCGTTTTTCAGTTTCGGGACATTTTTTTCTCCTTCCGCTTGCTCAATTCCGTTCGAAACGATACGTTAAGCTAAAAACCTCGCCATGTCAATAATATATTATATTATAACGATAAATGCGATTATTTTTTTACTATTTTTTTGGTATTATAACTATTAACGTTTTTTTACTCTTCTCTGATAGTTCTCTGTTTTGGGTTGCAACTTGGAATATATTGCCAGCATTATATATTATTATGCACTATATTGTATTAAAATATGTGTATAGAAAAAACGATGGTGATAGCGAGAAGTGTATTGTGACGAAACTAATAAACGAAGAAATAATGTGAACACCAGCTGTGTGTAGGCATTAACATAATATTATTGCAGTATACGTAACTGCTAAATATAATAATATTGTTACATGACTTCATTGTAGTAAGTAATATTATATTTTATCGAATTTTTAACGCGTTGTAACTACCTATTTTATGTACTCTTTTCATCATACATTTAGTTTTATGTCATAAACGATATTATTAGTGTCGCTGATGATGGATTTGTTTCCACATTAATTGATGTGTTTAACGAAATCATAAAATGTACTGAATGTACAACAAAAAAACTTTTTATCCAATATAGCAAAATAAAAATAAGAAATTTAAGTTTTTTTAACTGAACATATTTTCTACTGCACCTATCTATATTACTGTATACTTATATACTGATTTGTGTAATAGTTTACATTTAAACAAACATTTTAAATCAGTTCGAGATTT